ATATTTTAAATCTTAATTTTCCTAATCCTGAAGTCTTTTAAATCCTGATTTTCCTAATCCTAAAGTCTTTTAAATCCTTATTTTCCATTAATATCCTAAAATGGCTACTTTCTTTAAAGACAGTAGTTTTGCAGTACAAGATACTGGAAGGTAACCTATATAGACAGAAGGTACAGATAAGATATACAGATAGGTGAGATTTTTATCTATCATAGAATACAGCCCATCTAGTAGATTTCCATACTTTGTGATGATAATTCAAGTGTATATTGAAATCTGGTTGCACTAATTGACAGAGCAAATTACTTTTGGAACCATATTTCCAAAGGGCCTCTGAATTTATTCCTTCAATTTTACATGCATGGGCTTCCATACCTTTGTGAATTTAACGTTTGTGTACATCACTCTGACATTTCCTAGCATTTGAAGAACAATTTCAAAGACTATTTTTTGCACATGTGGTATTAGGACATTTTAGTAGAACAGGTTTTAGAAAACTCATTTACATTCTGCATATTTAGCCACCTTGGTATCTTCATCCTACTTTCAAGGGCTCTAATCAAAATTTTAACATGGAATTTTCTTAGAAGAGGGGCTGAATTCCAGACATAAAACTAAAAAAGAAAAAAAAAAAATTCTGCCTCATTTTCTATGCTTCGTTTCTGTTCTTCAGAGGAGGAAAAGCCTGAAAAGCTTTTGACTGTAAACCTAAATATCACTGAGCTGTTTAGTAAAATCTGTCTGATATACCAGGTTCTGAAATCACGGTGCCCCCCCACTCCCCTCCAAAAAAAAAAGAAACCAAAAAAACCAAACCCCGCAGACAATTGATTAATAATGAGGTCAGAAATACAAATAAATTTACTTCTAATGAAGACTGGAGACACAGTAATCAAAGTGTTAAAAATTCATTTCATGCACATCTCATTTGCCTCTTAGCTGATATTTATCACATAATTCTGTGAGAAAGTAGAGGCCTAAGATGCTCCAGATAAATGTCTCAATTAATTGTACAGAGGTAGCCCTCTTTGAGCTGAACCAGAGCTGTGAGCTCTTTATTAAAAGCACTATTCTGTAGCCTGTAACCTTGTTCCTTGACTCCTCTCTAGTTTCCAATTTAAACAAGTCCCCATGCGGCCCGCTCTAAAGGGCTTTGTCTCCCTGTCATTGTTAAGAGAGCCGAGGCATCCTGGAAGTGTGAAATCAGACCTCATGAGCTGAACGGTTCCCCAGGGAACGCTGGACCGCGCAGAAGGTCAAAGTCATGGGCTGGACCATCTGAAAGCGTCTGATCGCCGGTCTGTGACACAGCAAGCGAGGTGGGGGCAGGGGGAGAAGGGAGCCAGGGGGCTAGAACTGAACACATCTTAATTAAAGCCCAAAGACAGCAAAACAAACTGTTTTCCAGCCAGGCCGTCAGATGGAGCTTGGATTTTTGCTCCGCTAATGAATCCGAGTGGCTAACTATTGTTCCTTAAAATAATAGGACTTTTTGCTGAAGTTGATCAAACCTGTGGCGCATCTTTTCCCACCCCGCTTGCTTCTTGTCAATAATAAGGCAGAAGGTTTCCAATTTTATTTCGTGGTAGAAGGAAAAGGAGGAATGCATCTGCCCCAGTACAGGAGATGCAAGTGCTGCCTGCGAAGTCTCCACCACAAAACCACCTACACCTCACTCGGCTGCAGAGGGAATACACTTACCCAACTATTGCCCAAACTTGGCTTTCCAAAACTCACATGGGTTAGGTGAACAGAATTAATGTATTAATTTTTTAATATCAAACTGATATAATGAGTCCATTGCACCTTTTGCATCTTTCTGCACCATCAGAATCGTTCTCCGCGCAACAGGACATCACTGTAGGCACGCATGCTGCCATGCCAGGGCTCCGCAAGCAGCTGAACCCTTGACCTCTGCCTGTCTTCCAGAGGAACCCCAAGCGAGCAAAGATGTGGGGAAATGGGAAAAATGTAACCTCTTTAGGTGAAGATTTAGGGAGAAAACAGCTTCATATTGAATAGCTAAAATACAAGAGAAGATTTAAATGCAACTTTCTTCTCAGGAAGAGAAGGAAAAAGAAAACACCACACTCAAACACTCATACATCTTTCCATTTGTTAGATTGTAGTTTCAAAAGAACATATTTAAAAAGATGTGTTTTCCAGGAAGGAGTATTTTTTGTGTGACCACAATTTCCAACAGAACACCAACTTGCACTGGTGGAAGCCCTAAAAATGTGTTTTGACCATGGAAAGACGCTGTTTTTCTGGGGTAATATCCTCATGGATGCAGCAGCTCTCTCAAAGGCGCCGGTCCTGGAAGATGACTTATTTTTCAGCTCTCCCTGAAATCAAGATGAGCTTTCAAGCACTGAATCTCTCAACCCCTCAGCCTCCTCCGTTTCCTAGACTTCCTCACAAGTCAGCTGAGCAAGGAGAAATCTCACTTTGTTCTTTTCGGGTTATTTTTTCAAACCCAGCTACAGCACGTTTGAGCAGCATCCCATTTCCAAACTGGTAGGGCCCATTTCTTCCCTACTCACAACTTCATCAAAATTTCAGCCCATTCTGGCATCTTGTCCAACACACATGTATGTGTGGGGGTTGTAAAACCAAGGCAGGAACCTCCACCCTAAATCTCTCTCTCTCTCTTTTTTTTTTCTTTAAAAAAAAATCTGTACTTTAAGGATCTGAAGTGTCCAACACTGGGCTATTGAGACTGGAGAAAAAACTGCCCTCAACTACCAACAGTTTATTAGGGGCTCAACTGAAGTGACCTACTGTAGTAGCATTCAGTTACTACAAGGCTATGGGCTTTCTCTGTAAAGGAGAAGAATTGAGGGTTTCATTAAAAAGTAATTTGTGCTTTTTACTCATTCATTCAACAGGCGTCTCAATTGCTCTTTATTCACACAGAGTTAATACAGTATTACAATGCTGCTCAATGAATGTGTGGTAACAAAAGAAAAATTTCACATTTTGAAAGGGGAAAAAAAAAATAAAAATCCTTGCAACTGTAGTAAGATTGATGAGTACTTAAAAGATTACAGAAATCTTTTTCCGTCTATGCTTATGCTTAATGATGGAATAGTAAGGATTTTTAAAATCCATTCAGCCCAAACTAATAAATTTTATTACTTCACATGAAAAGATTCCTGAAAGTGAAATGGGATACGTTCAGCAGACAGGAAACAGAGCAAACCACACAGGTACTACACAGGTGTTTCAGCTACTTTTCAGACTCAGGGGAGGGCAAAAGATTAACTCTGAAAAAAACAATACAGTAAGAAGAGCAAACTAGTCCTTAGTTTTTACTCACACAAGCAAACCTGAGTTGTGTAAGCTACACCACTGATGACAGCGCTCTCCACACCGACTAATAAGTATTGTTCAGTCGCATAAAGGTGGTTGGTCAAGTTGTACATAATTTTTTTGCAAACATGATTTATTGACAATCACTAAATAACTACTTCTGCGTTATTTCTAAATATTACTATTCAAAGTTTAATCTGAAATCAATGATCCATACTTGCCCACAAGTTACTAAAAATAGCTATGAATTACTACAGTAGTTAATAAAAACTCTTTCTCCTCTTTTCACAATACCAGGCATTTTTGTCCAAAACATACAAAGACTTCTGTCACGCCTGGAATGCAGAGACATCTTACAAAAAACGTATAAATGTTTTTTCTTGTTAATAAACAAAATAGGTGGGACATGGGAAGGTATTGAGTGTTCTTCCCCATCTTCCTGACCGCTGCTCTAAACACAACGTCTGAAAATTCTCGGTAGCTCGGTACATCTTATAATTGAATCAAATGTATTTCCAAAAAATTTGTTCAACCAGCACAAATGACATGTTGATCTGGAAAAGTCGAAGAGTGAACGAGGTCAGCGACTGAATTATCCCATTTGCTCCTGAATAACTTAATCTCTCTCTCTGTTCAGACCACATTGGATTATAAGGTCAAAGCAGAGTGAAGAATCTTTAGAAGTATTTCTCCAGCCTCCTCGAAAATAGAATCTGTTATTTTGCGTGCCGCAAACTGGATGATCAATTCCAGCAATAAAATGTTTGCTTTGTTACCTTGTCTGAGAAAAAAAAAAATAAATACTGGTACTCACACTAATTTACAAAAAAACTATTAAAAAGTGAGTATGCTGCTATCTATCTACATCTGCTCCTGTAACAGAACACCTATGTCCAAATTGCAGCTACATTACTATAGTTTCTTTCTTTTTCCTTTTTATTTTTTTTTTATGCAGAGATGGTTATTTTCTGACACAGAACAAGCTCATTTTGCTCCATTCAACCTGTGCAGTGCGAAGGTGATTGTAACTACAGGAGATAACTTGGACATTTCTTGAGAAATATGGTCAGTATGGCTGAAATGCTTTTTCTTTATTTTGAAAAACAAAATGTTATATTATCCACTCAGCGTATAAAACTTAAAATAGAAAATACCAACTAATTTCATACTTCCCTTCTCAAAGAGACAAGCAGTAGTGGGATGAAACTGCATTTATTTAAAATGTCTGAAACCAACATCAGCCTTGCTAAATATCTGGCAGATATCAAATGCTTCTTTTGGCAAAAATCTTAAATTATTATCTAAGTCTACGACCTTTCATTTGTCCTGTCTTCTGGAATTCAGCTTTAATTCAGATAATTTTGTATATTTGTATTTATTAGAAATGGAAGTCTTTTCTATGTATTTTTTTTTCCAGGACCTCTGATGGAGAAAAAGGTGTATTTCACCCTTCTGGGAAATAACCTATGTGGGGTTCTGCTAGCATTAGAATGAGCTGCTGCCTTGCTTACAAAAGTTTTGTTTGTTGGAGGATTTTTTCCCTAATAAGCAGAAAGTGAGACTGTGCAAACAGAAAATAATCTTCACAGAAAGTTCTGTTTTAAACGTTTTTGGTTTTTTTTTCCACTTCTAAAAGGGCCCAGTCTTACTATGTTATTTACTGTCACAGAAACCAAATGCATCCTTGCCTGTGACATCAGCTGCCATCAATGCTTCTGCCCTGATGACCTTCACCTGAAGAAATCCCACATCCTTCATGTTATGGAACATCATCATTGGACTCTAAAAAATAATAAAAAGAAAAATAATTCCGTATTGCAAAAAAGACAAACCAAAAGCAATATTAATAGTCCTCTCCCTAGCCCAGATATAAGTTAGTGTAATTCTAACTTACTCATACTTTTAATTATTATTTTCTGAAGAATGTACAGTTGCCAGCATTTCTTACAGTATTTTGCAACTCACCGATGAAATATGCAAAGGAGAAATAGAATATGAATGACTAAATATAACACTAACTCTACTGAATCAATCCCCCAATAATACATGAAAAACTGACAAAATTTTAAATTATGTTGTATTAATAAAATTAAAACAAACAATGAACCACTTCCTCTCTCTGAGTACTTCTGTGAGATCTGTGTTCACATTCTCCCTTTGATGGGTCCAATAATATTTTGAACAGTGAACAATACTCAATATTGTTTTTGTTGTAGTCAACCATTATGTAGCAATGCTATAAGCTTATATATAGCATACAAGCATTTATAAGCTTGCATACAGCTTGCAAATAACGAGCAAAAACAATGAGAAGAGGATTATAACAAGTCTGTAATTTTCATAATAATCACGTGCAAAAAATATTTTTAAAAAATTAATTAAAAGATGTTTCTAATTCCATGGCAGAAAGCTCTTACTATAAATATTTTTGACATAAATTTCTGCAATATCTACATATACTAAAAAGAGGAAGAAGAAATCAACGAGTAGACTAACACCTGTATTTATTCATCC